CCCGCTTCACGGTCATCGCATGGTCGTTTTTTGTGGGCGCTGCCTTTGGACGCGGCCAAACAGTCCCTGGGCGTGACCTGCGCCGTGCGCCGTGGACAGATGCTTCCGGAGAGCGTCACGGGAATCACAAGACTTCTCACCAGCGCGCGCGGGGGAGGTGTTTCTCCGCAACTTTTTCCATCTTCCTTCGCCGGCAAGAGAAGGATTTCTTTTTTTCCCCAGCGGGACCGACAAGGCTGCTGGGCTAGCGCCCCGCGTGTGCCGGGGGAGCCGCCACGACGCACGCCGCCTCCCCCGCGCTCTCACGGCTATTTCGCCCTCCCTCCACTGGGCCCCGTCCTTTCCGCCGGGGCCGGGTTCCGGCTGGGCGCCCGGCTTGCTGAAGCGGCGAATGCTGGCCGCACACGCCCGGGAGCAGAACGGCCGCTTCGATACGGCGCGCCGCCCTCGCGCGACGAACAGCCCTCCTGGCATGTTCGACCCGCAAACAGCAGGGGCATTTGAGGCGCCCCGGGCCCTCCGTCGCACCGAAAGTAGGGAGTATTCCAGTAGCCGCGGCGCAATGGGAATACGCGGCGGGAAGCGGTCCGGGTGAAGTTTTCGAGCATGCGCACGCGGGTCCGGCTGGGGGGCCCACGCGCGTTTTGGGCAGCACGGGCACTCTAAGCGACCAGGGTGACCGCGAGAGAACTTAGTTCACCACAGGAGCCTTTAGGGCGTGTTGGCTGCAGCAGTGGGCCTTTGCGCCAATTGAAGTGAAACTGCGCGCGGCAGCGCTTGCCACAAGCGGGGCGTCGAAGGTCGAGGGCACGCTGATGGACGCGCTCTCGCGGCGGCGGCCGGGGTTGTGGAGGAGGCGCCGGGGTTCTCGCGCGCGGTGCGGTGCGGGCCTCGCGAATCGCACTCACACTTGGGGGGCGGGCCTATCGTGTGCTTCGTCGTCATGTGCGCAGCCGGAGCGCCTCTCCACCAGTTGTCGTGAAGACGCATTTCGCGCAGACGCTTGCGTGCCCCTCCGGCGCGTCCGCCAGGGCTCCTTTAGCCGCCCTTAGGGCCCCGCGCCTCGCCGAGGCCACGGTGACTAATCGCAATGCGTGTTATCGCGCGGGTNAGCGCCTGGCTCGCAGGCCTTGAGGCGGACCGGGCAAAAA